ACATATTTCTGGAATGAAATTAAAAATTTGTAAGCCGGGGTCCACTGTATTTGAAAAGTTTTTACAAATAAAAGTGATGCAAGGAGGGAAGAGTATGTGGGGAGGAAAACAGAGGTTAAAAGAGTTTATGAAGCAGTGTAAAAAGATAACAACTGAGAGAATGGGTGAGATATTATCAACAAATTTTGTTTGAAAATAAGAAAAATATTTTGGAGTGAGATTAATAAGTTGAGGAATCCTAGGAAAAAGATGGCTTTGACAAATTTAAAAGTAGGAGAGTTATTAAATGGAGAGTTAGAGGTATCAGGAAGATGGAGGGAATATTTTGAGGAATTGTTTAAATGTTGATGAAGATAGAGAAGCTGTGATTTCATTTATAGGGCAAGGAGAAATAACATCTTGTAGGGGTGAGGAGTAGTGAGTTATGAGTATGGGAGAAGTTTGTGAGGCAGTGGGTAGAGTGAAAGGGGGTAAGGCAGCTGGTAATGATGGGATAAAGATAGAAATGTTAAAAGTAGGTGGAGATATAGTTCTGGAGTGGTTGGTGCTGTTATTTAATAAATGTATGGAAGAAGGTAAGATCCTAGGGGTTGGCAGAGAGCATGCATAGTTCCTTTGTATAAAAAGGGAAAGGGGGCAATAAACAGTGCAAAAATTATAGGGGAATAAGTCTGTTGAGTATACTTGGAAAAGTGTATGGTAGAGTTATTATTGAAAGAATTAAGAGTAAGACAGAGAGTAGGATAGCAGATGAACAAGTGCCGCCAGGCCGATTAACCCTAGCCTTTCTTCGTAGAACTAGGGGGTGTGTAGACAAAGTATTTACAGTGAGGCATATAGGTGAACGTATTTAGAGAAGAGTAAAGAGGTTTTTGTAGCATTTATGGATTTGGAAAAGGCATATGACAGGGTGGATAGGGGAGCAATGTGGTAGATGTTGCAAATGTATGGAATAGGAAGTAGGTTATTGAAAGTGGTGAAAAGTTTTTACAGAGGAGAGTGAGGCTCAGGTAGAGTATGTAGGAGAGAGGGAGATTATTTCCAAATAAAAGTTGGCCTTAGACAAGGATGTGTGATGTCACCTTGCTTGTTCATTATATTTATAGTTGGGGTTGTAAGAGAAGTGATTGCTCGGTGTTGGCAAAGAGGTGTGGGGTTAAAAGATAAAGACTAACACAAAGTGGGAGTTGTCATAGTTGCTCTTTGCTGATGACATGGTGCTTTTTGGAGATTCTGAAGAGAAGTTGCAGAGGTTGGTGGATGAGTTTGATAGGGTATGTAGAAGAAGTAAATTAACCCCTTGACTGTCACAACTCCAAATCCTGAGGTGTCTCCTGGTGCCACAAAATTTCCCCCCCAAAAAAAGAAAATTTTTTTTCTAATGAAATGATAGTGAATGTTTTCCCGATTGTAATGACACCAAAAGAACAAAATTTGATGGAAAACTGACGGAATTATGCTCTCGCGAAGTTAGCGACCTTGGCGATATTTACAAATCGGCGATTTCGCCCACTTAGAGCCCTATTTTCGGCTAATTCCATTGTTCCAGTTGACTAAACTCATAGCTATTTCTTTAGAACTCCATTTTTTCTATCGACTGAGTACAAGAAACTGCCCATTTACTGATTTCAACTATGCAATAATGTGGTCAGAAATTTGCAATTTGGCCAGTTTCACAAAAATTAAAAAAAAATGGCAATTTCAAAATAGGGTCCAGAATGAACAATGCAGACATTCCTGGCTCTAGAATGACATTTTCTTTGTTCATCAGTCATGTCTCCAGGCCCCTCTGATATTACTCTTGCTTTCTATTTTGAATTTTTATTCAAACAAAAATAGAAGATTTACTGTTATGCAAACTACTGCAATATTGTAATAATTGTATAAATAACATCATCCCATTCGTGACTCCATATTAGAATGGCTACTTGGACATTTATTGGAAAATGACATCATTTGTTTACTTTTGAACATCGGCAAAAATCAAACATTTCCCCTACTTTGAGCTCCATTTCCAGGTTCTTTTCATAGTAAAACCAATCAAAATCACCTCTTTTTCTATAATATGTTTCCCATTCTATCAAATGAGACCAGAAAATGAGAATACAGTCATAAATACTATATGAAAATAGACCACAATTTCGGCATTTTATTTGACGAAAAAATTATGCACTGCGTGCTGCAGGATTTTTTTATATGGTGCACACTGACCACACAGACCCATTCTCTCACATGTGGGCCTACCAGCTTTCTCCTGCTTGATTTGAAGCCACTCAAATTTATGAGTATGTATATATACATCAAAAATGGTGACTCCGTAAGACGTACATGTATATATACGACCAAAATAGTTAAAGGGTTAAAAGTGAATATAGGAAAGAGTAAGGTCATGAGGATAACAAAAAAACTGCGTAATGAAAGATTGGATATCAGACTGGAGGGAGAGAGCATGGAGGAGGTGAATGTATTCAGATATTTAGAAGTGGAAGTGTCAGCAGATGGGTCTATGAAGACGAGGTGAATCATATAATTGACAAAGGGAAAAAGGTGAGTGGTGTCACTGAGGAGTTTGTGGAGACAAAGAACTTTGTTCATGGAAGCAAAGAGGGAAATGTATGCTCTTATATGGGTGCAAAGCATAGGTAGTGAATGTTGCAACAAGGAGAAGGCTAGAGGCAGTGGAGATGTCGTGTTTGAGGAAGGGTTGTTGAGGTGGTTCAGAAATGTAGATAGGATGGAACAAAATAGATTGACTTCGAGAGTGTATAAATCTGTAGTGGAGGGAAGGCGGGGTAGAAGGTCGGCCTAGGAAAGTTTGGAGGGAGGGGGTAAAGGAAGTTTTGTGTGAGAGGGGGCTTTGACTTCCAGTAAGCATGTGTGAGCATGTTAGATAGGAATGAATGGAAACAAATAGTTTTTAGACTTGGGATGCTGTTGGAGTGTGAGCAGGGTAATATTTATGAAGGGATTCAGGAAACTGGCAGGCAAGACTTGAGTCCTGGAGATCGGAAGTACAGTGTCTGCACTCTGAAGGAGGGGTGTTAATGTTGCAGTTTTATAACTGTAGTTAAGTGCACCTCTGGCAAGACAGTGATGGAGTGAATGATGGTGATTTTTTTTTAGGCCACTCTATCTTGGTGGGAAATGGCTGATGTATTAATAAAATAAAATAATAACTTTTCAACAGTCACTTTGTCAACACTGGCAACCTCCCCATGCCTAGCCACACTGTGAATGCCACTTCTTCTCTTAAATTATCAAACCAACCTTTACTAGCCTTGAAGGATTGCATTTCAGCACTTGTTCAGGGGGTCATCATGCAACTGCCTTGCTTTTTCATAAATAATGGCCTCTGAAACACTATCACCATGTAACTGTTTTTCATTTATCCAAATCAATAAGAGTTTTCCAACCTCTTCAGTAATTTGTGGCTTTTGCCATGATATCACTTTTGCACCTTTTGTAGGGTCAGCTGCTTTAATTTTTCCCTTTGGCCCAGTATTGTGCTAATGGTAGACTTAGATTTACCAAAAAGCTTTGCTGTATCAATCATACAAAGCCTATCTTCTTCATACTTTCGAATAACTTCCTTTTTAAACTCATTAGTGCTTTTGACAACTTTTCTTTTTGCTATCATCTCTTCATCCTTTCTTGGACCCAAGATGGTTTATCTCACAATAAAAAAAAATTGCACCAAAACTGCAACAAGAAAAGATCACAAAATGAACATCAAGAGCTCAAGAGATGTTTACAGCATGAGTGTTAGTCACTATACTGACTGAGACCCACACTGTGGACTCTGTCTGGTGATCACGTGATCCCAGCTTTGTTGGTCGACAACCAAGACCAACTGCAAAAACCAAATTGAGCAAATCGGTTCAAAAACTGATTTGTTCGACAACTAGTCTGTTCAACAACCAAGGTTCCACTGTATTGCAATGGGTTCAAGAAACAGGCACTTGTATTGTTGGCTCAGCAGTAGTAATGACCTGTTTACACAAAGAATTCACTTTAAAAAGAGGAATTGAAGTAATAATCTCAAAAGTGGCATTGTCATCAATCCCTGAAATGCACCACATGATAGTGGCTTTCTTTTGTGTTTAACCCTTAAACTGTCCAAACGTAGATCTATGTTTTTTCAACATTTGAAAGTATGTAAAAAAAGTAGATCTTTTTTTTTTACATTTGAAAACGTGTAAAAAACCTTGATCTACTTTTTTTGTTGTATTTGAAAATATGTAAAAAAAAAATGTAGATCTACTTTTGGAGCACTACGCATGTGAACCTAGATCTGCTTGGACAGTTTAAGGATTAACAATAGTATTTTATTACATGTAAACTACATTTTGTAAACTGCACAGAGAAATAAAGTTTGGATGTTTTGTTTGATTTGAAATGTAACAAAAATTACACATTTACATAATTATCTTAAAATCAATGTTACTATCCACAGGACTGATATGGGTTTTTATATTAATTGGATAGCTTTACCCTGAACTTCATAATTATCCTCTAGGTGGCAGTCTAAAGATTACAGTAGTGCATACTGGTAGTGGTAGTACTGAGGGAGGCTTGGGATGACTGCAGCCCCTCCAAAGTTCTCTTAGTGCCCCAAAGTTCCCTAAATGAAAATAGTAATAATATTAACACTGCTTGGAATTAGATAGCCACCCCTAAGCCCCCAGTAAAGAAGTTCTGGCTCTGCCATTGTATAATGGGTCCAGGGATTAAACCTCAAAGTTATGTTGACTGAGCATGTTAGAAGAGAAATGATTTGTTTACACAGTGATCTCACTCACATGTAGTGCTAAAAAAAAAACATTAGTTTAGTTTCATTACACTGAAACACTGGCCTGAGGAACTCAGCTAAAAGTGATGTTGATTAAGCAAGTTGCAGACATTAACTGTATTTTTTCATACAGTATAGCATTTTTAAAAGTATACCATTTTATACAGTATACATGCTATACAGTATAGCATTTTATTGCTTTTTCTTTCAGTTGGGCGTCGTCTTCATAGTGAATTCCCATATATTGATGCAGAGGTTCGATATGCCTGTCGTGAGTATGCTGCCTCAGCCATTGATGTCATAGCCAGACGACTGCGACTAGCGTTTCTTAATGCTCAAGCAGCAGAAGAAGCCTTACCTACCATTGTTAACATAATGGCAGAAGAATTAAAATGGTCTGAAAGAGAAAAGAAGGTACAGTACAGTTATAAACCATTGTGTATTATAGTTGTCCCTTCAAATTCATGGGCTTCCTTATTTGTGAGGTCAGTTATTTTTTATTTTAGCCATTTTCTCACAAGGTAGGGTAACCTAAAGAAGGAAACATTCACCATCACTCATACAATAGTTGTCTTTTCAGAAGAGCAAAGACATCTTAGTTAGTTGACCCTTCGAACTACCACATCCCCAGCTATCTACCAGAGTGAAAGCCATAAAACTTTCTATTTCCAGAAGCGAGTCTGAAAAAAAGGTTTTTCCTGATTTTCCTTCAAAATGAATGTAAAAGGGGCTATTTGTTTGGGTACCAGATGCCCTGATTTTTTATGAAAATAAAATAGGATAAGGCCCCTTATAACGCTTACCAAGTAATTTTACTTACTGTACCCGAAAAGATCAAACATTAACAGGGGTAAAAAGACCCACTTCCCCCTTTGAGGGTCGGGGGGCCCTTCCGAAATTTCGTTTTTCAGGGTGGGCCCAAATTTTTCAAAAAAAAAAAAATTTATTTTTTTTATGAAAAAATAGAGTTTTTTTTCAAAAACATTATGGGATAAACAAAAAAAAATTTTACCATCAATACTTAGGGAAAAAGGATGTTTGAATTTTGCAGAAAATGAGCCCGATGGCAACAGCGGCGACTGCCGCTCACCCGGGAAAATTTTAATTTTCTTTATTTGAAGGTTTGTTTTTTTTTTAAATATTTTTTTTTTCACAAAACCCTTTTTGGGGCCCCTATGGGGACCAAAGAAAGGTCAATTTAAAATATATACACTCATTGTATCAACACAATAAGCCCCACAAACAAAATTTATCAAAAATTTTGGTTTAAAAAAATTTTGTAAAAAAACAAACAATAAAAAAAATTTTTTTTATTTTTGGGTTCTATAATTATTTTCCCAAAATTTTCATCACTAAAACATTTTCCCTATTAGTTCTGCAGCTTGGGAACTCTAAAACGGGGTTTTTCATACACAATGGTTTTTTAAATTTTTCTCCTCATTCTATCTTTTAAATCTGTTCTCTTTCAATCTGTCTGTCAAATCTCTGCTAAACGGTACACATAAACCCAAGTATACATAGAAATAAATTCCCTAGGAAAACCCCAAAAACCCAAAGCCCAAAGTGCTATAATCTGCTTGAAGATGGGGTTAAAAGTGAGGGAAAACAGCCCTTGTGGCCCCTCTGGGGGACAGAAAAGTTTAGGGGAATAGACAGATAGAAAAGGGAGTTTACAAAACCAGACAAATAGACGACAAAAATGTTATTTGAAACCAGTCCCAGTGTACTAGTTTTCCCAAACCCTCCTCCCCCCTTTCTCCTCTTCCCCTCTTCCCCTACTCTTTTTCCTCTTCCCCCCCTACTTTTTCCCAAAAATTTTCCCTTTCCCCTCTTCCTTTTTCCTCCTATCTTCCTCTTCCTCCCCCCTCCTTTTCCTCCTCCTCCTTTTTTCCCCTCTTCCCCTCCTCCCTTCTTCCTCTTCCCCCTCTTCCCCAATTTTCCCCCCTTACTATTCCTCTTCCCCCCTCCTTTCCTTTATTCCTTTCCCCTACCCCTCCCTTCCTCCTCCCCCTCCCCCCTCCCCCCTTCCTCTTTTTTTTTTTTTTTTGCCCCTTACTTTTTCCCCCTTTTCCCCCTTTTCGCCATAGGGAAAAATTACAAGGAGCCCGGAACCCTTAAAAGTGACATATTGGCTCTTTTGCCCCTTTCCCCCCCCGCCTGTAAAAAACAAGGGGGTTTCGGAGGGCTGTTTCCCCCTCCTCCTTTTCATCAAATTTAATCTTTCCCCTCATTTTTCTGTCATCCTGCCCTAAAGGTACCCCTAAATAAAAGGATACATAGAAATTTTTTTCCTTGGAAAAACCCAAAAACCCCAAAAAAAGTGCTTTTACTCTGTTTGAAAATGGGGGGAAAAAGTGGGACGCGGGTCTTGGGCTCCTGAGACAGAAAAGCAAGGACGTAGACGGGGAGTTTAAACAGACGGGAAAAAAGGACAGAAAAATTTTTTATATACCAGAAAAAAACAAAGGGGGGCGAGTTCATTCATTTTTTTGGCTTCACCCCACCCTTTTTTTCCCCATAAAAACGTCGACTTATCAGTTTTTCCCCCCTTATTTTGTTACTGTCATGGGGAAAATTTATTATTACTTTTTATTATTTTTCCCTATTATTATTATTTTGTTTTATTTTTTTTATGTTTTAAATTAATTATTTTGTTTTAAATTTTTTTTATGTATTTTTAAATTTGTATTATTGTTTTTCATTACGTATTCTTTCTTCTTCCTCCTCCCCCTTTCCTCCTCTTCCCCTCCTCCCCCCCCTCCTCCTCCTCTTTTTTCTCCTCCCCCTCCCCCCTCTCTTGTTCTTCCTCCCCCTTCCTCCCCTCCCCTCCTCCTCCCCTCCTCCTCCCCCGGGCCCCCTCCCTTGCCCCCCTCCCCCCTCTTGTCTCCCCCTCCTCTGTTTCCTCCTCCCCTCCATTTTGGAACAAGTTTAAAGGGCTTGTATTTCATAATCACTATCTTTATCTTTCACCAATTCACACCCTGAGTCGGGTTTTTGGAAAAAAGGGGATTTTTCCTTTTTTGATTCGGTAAATTTGAACGAGGGCCCAGAAACAGAGGGGGAAAGGGCTGTGGGTTGTCGGGGTTTTTCCCTTTCCTAATTACCCATTTTTGGCATTAGTTTCGGAAAAAACTTACCGAACCTTGAACCCCTTTTTTCACGGGTCATTTCCATCTTTTTTAAACTGCACGGGGGAAACCCCCACAAGTTCCCAATTCGCCGGGGAGTGGGGAAAACTTTTACCGCAGGAACGGGGGAATTGTTTCAATGATGGATTCCCACAATCACCACTGGGCCCCAATTTTTTTCCTACTGCGCACACCACCCACCAAAACCCTTCTTTTTCCCCATCTAGGCTTATCAGTTTTTTCCCCCTGGGGAGATTTGGGGCCCGCTAGAATTTATGCGTACTATTCCCAAAAAAACCCCCACGCGAAACCCCCGAAGAAACGACCAAAACCCCAAAGGGTTTAAAAAGAAAATCTGAATAAAATTTTTGGGTTTTATTTTTTAATTTAAGGGTTATAAACCCAAAACAAAAAAAAATTGTGCCCCCTTTAAAAAAATTCGGTTCAGTAAAAATAAAAATGTTTTTGTTATATTTTGCAAATTATGAAGTTTTTGAATTTGAGAGCTAAATGTATAAAAGTTTTAAATGCTTGATGAACAGCTATAACGAAAATTGACAAAAAAAATTCAGATTCTTTGGATAAACTTTTGATTTTTAAAACCCTCACTGTCACCCTCCTCTTTCCATATTTAATTAAATGTTTTCTCTACTTACGTGCTGGGAACAACCACCCCAAACCATTTTTAAAAACCCCTGAACTTGTTTTAAATAAAACCAAGACTTAAAACCTTTTTAGGTCCCTATACAAAACCCAGCCCAATACTTTAGCCCACAACCACCCAGGGAGGTACTACCACCCTTTGCCAAGTGAGTGGGGAAAACGAAAACCTGTAATTGTTTTAATGTTTGGTGGGATTGCGGGTTTGTCTTTTGTTGTCTATAAATAGGCAAAATTACGGGTACTCTTCCCTTATTTTCTACTTACACATGGGTCAAAACCTACACATACTTTTCATTTTATTTATACACCCCATCGGGGGTTTTTTTTTGGGATTTTATCCTAAAAAGTTTCTTGGTCTTATTATTTTTCCCTTTTTAAATACCCGGGGGGAAATGGAATAAGAATCTTTCCCCCGTAAACAAATGCGTTTTTTTAAAAGTAAAATTTAAAATGCTGTAAAACAAGGGGTTTGGAACCCCCTTTTCCTGTAAAAATTACTAAAAAAAAATTAAAGAAAAAAATTTGGTCAAGTGAGAAGTCTAAAGGGGGTTTTTTGGATGTTGGGAAAATGACAAGAAAAAAGATGATTGGGGAAATTGTTATGAATGAGAAAAAAGCTAAAATGCCCGGGGGCTTTAAATAAACCCAAAGGGAAAGGGGGTGGGGGAGTTTCATTTGGGAGGAATAAAGGGGTTTTCCCCGGGGGTTTCAAATATAGTTGGGACCCTTAAAGAAGGATAGCAAAATTTGAAGGAAAATTTTTTGGCGGAAAAAGGGGGAGTAAAAAAGAAATTAAATTTAAAGGATTATGTGGGGGTAAAAAAAAGGGTTGGGGGGCAAAAAAGGGGGTTTATATAAGCAAAAATTGCCCCTGGAAAGAAGAAGTTTAAAAGGGGGGGAGAGATTTTTTGGGGGGAATTAAAATGAATGCGGGGGATTTTTTTAAACCAAGTGGGGAAGGGGGAAAGGGTTTTTTGGGGATTTCAGTGTTTAAAGTGGGAAAAAAATTTTTGTGGGGGGGTTTTAGAAACTAAAATTGGGGTGTAGGGGAAAAATTGAAAATGGGACCCTTTAATTGAGTTTATGTTTTAGAAAAAAAGTTTGGAAAATAAGTAATAATTTTTAGAAAAGAGGATAAAAAAAATTACAAGGAAGATTTTACAGGGAATGAAAGTAGTTTGTTAGTTTATGTATTGGGGGGGATAAAAGGTTGGGGATAGGCCCCAAAGGAAATGTACCCGTTTATAGAGGGGCAACTGATATATAAGCATTTTATTTTACGGGTTACATTTAATTAAAAAGGGTAGAGGGGAAAGGAGGAAAAGGGCCAATAACAAGCAAGGGGGAGGTGAAAGGGTAAAACTATGGGAGGAGGAATTTCGGGTAAAGATATAAGCAACTATTGGCAAAAAAGGGGCGGGTGAAAGTATGGTAGTGGGGGGGGGGTTTTGAAGAGGGTTGGAATTTTTTTAAAAATTTCAGTATTAAAAATGGGGGGCAAAAAGTTTTGGGGGTTATAGGAGGGGGGTTTGCAAGGAGGAAAGAGGAGTGATTGGGGAATGATAAAGTAAAGGGCTTGATCAAAGAGAAAAAGTTACTTATGGGGGTTGGTTTTTACAAAGCAGAGGTTTTTTTTAAAAAAGGGGTTGAGTATATAAAATTTTAAAAAAATTTAAATAGAGGGTGAAGAGTGCAAAAGGGGAGATGGGGGGGGATTTGGAAGGTAACTGCCCAAGGGAATTTTTAAAATGAAAAAAAAGAAAAAA